GAGAGAGAGAGAGAATTCATTACTTGTAATCCTCTGGCTTTTCTGGCCACATGCTTTTTATAATCCTGGTCTCCTTGCAATCTGCATCCGGGTTCTCCGGTACCTCGAGCTCGTCTCTTTCTGCCATATAGTCAAAAACTTCACACCAATCTGTGATATTCTTGGTGAAGTCTTCATCATGGAAAAACCCCAAGGGTTCTTTACATATCTAGCCGCCTTCTTCTTCTCCTCATATGGCAAAGCTGAGAAACCAGCCATAGCCATCTTCAGATTAGACCAGAGATCAGGCGACACACCATGGTTAATTGCTACAAAGAAGCCCCACTCTTTGAAGGCATTGTGCACTTGCTTTGCAATGCTAGCCTTGGCCTCATCCGTGGAGGAATTATGGGGCAATTGAAGTGGAGCTAGGTCGATTATTGGGACATTTTCTAAGTATTTGATTGAACCTATGGATGGACGAGTCTCTACGGGTTGAATTCGAGATGGATCAATAGAGGGAGCCATTTTGTCTTGTTGCTCGGTCTCTTGATTCATAGCGAACCCGGCTCACCTCTTTATAGTCTCTCAGGCTCTCTTTTTACTACTTGGAAACGTAACACGTGGTACGGTTATGCGCCCTCGGGGTCGTTTTTAGTTACTTGGATGTGTAACACATGCTAGGGTAATGATTTGAACGGAATATACGGCGATCAAATTTAGGGCTGCCATTGGGTCGGGTTTGACCAAGACCTGCCCTAACAAAGCCAAAAATTTTTGGCATGCTGGAAACGGTCTAGCTCGGAAATCATATTTTGGGCGATGATATGGCTTGGACCAGAAATATTTTTCTTAAGTCTGGCCCTGGCCGCCATTGGCCTGAAAATAACTTTGGGTTGGGGTTAGGACAGGCCCAAATATAGGCCTTGCATTGGCCTGAAAATAACTATTGAGAGCAAACTTTTTTTCCTAAATGTGCTCATTCAGGAGCACAAACTTTTTTTCCTAAATGATATTGCCCATATATATATATATATATATAGATATATATGAGTGTGTGCGTCTGTTAAGGGTAAGATTTCTCTCTTGAAATTTTCCACTCACAAAAAAAAGTGATTTTCTATAAAAAACATTATATCAAAGTATTTTTTTTCCAAGAGTTCTCTTTAAGAGTATCAAACCCTAATATAATCTAGGGTAAATTATGGATACCTCATTCAAAAATGAATTTTATAGACAAGCTAAACCCCTATACTTTTAGTATCACACCCATGACCTAGTTATTGTTTTTTCTTGCTTTCAACCTCTTATAAAAAAGTCGTTGCCTACCCAATAAATCTCTCTCTCTCTACAAGACCTCTCTCCTCATTCTTTCTACCCTCTCTTTCTTTCTCTTTCTACCGGGTAGAGGGAAAAAGAGAGGGAGATGAGAGAGAGATTTAATGAGTAGGATAAAAGAAAAAAATGGTAGTTTAGTGTAATAATCTTAAAAAAAAAAAAAAAAAAGAAGAAAAGAAACTTTTAAATAAGTGATGGTTCGTATGAGCATGATGGTCCTTAGGGACCATCACTACTTTCAAAAGCTTTTATCTGGTTTAAGCTTTTGCTCTTGTCACATCCTTTAGTGGACGTGGGCTTTAAGTGTTTAAGTTGTAATATAACTGTTACACCTCATGTGTGAGGTGTAACTTAATAAAAGAATATAATAAGGTGTCGTAAGAATTTAAATAGGAGAAATGAGGACTCCCACTCTAGAAAATTTTGAGATCACTCTCTCTCTAGTCGAAACGCAGTGAGCTCTTTCTCTTTCTAGCCGAATTTTTATCGGAAGCTTCCTCTCAATATTTTAGATGAGTGACTTTAATATCTTGAAAAATAATCCGTTCCTTTCAAAAATGAAATGAAATAATTACTTCTGCTTATTATCATGAATTTTAGGCGCGATAAATTTTATGCGCAAGCGACCTCATTAATTTGAAAAATATTCTTTTTAATAAAAATTGTGATATTTTATCTATGTTAGAAATTTTAAATGCTGTAAATTTTTAGAAATAAATTTATTTATTTTTCTTGTCTATTGTTAGAAAATTTTAGATAATGTAAAATTATTAGAAATAAATTTCTGATGTTAGTAAAATTGTGAGATTTCTATCTACTATTTTTGAATATTTAGACATTGTAAATTTCATGTGCAAATGACTGCCTTATTATTTGAAAACTGATATTTTGCAATTCACTATAGCATTGTCTGTGAAATATTTATTTGCGAATTGACATCCCATAAAATGTGATGAATCCGTATTCTTGAATTTCTATAAGAGTTTTTCTATACATATTAGATTGGCAATTATGCTAGAATGTCTTTACGAACTTCTACCTTTTTTCATTTGAGCCCAAAATATTTGACTGGTTATTTTAGAAATGTTATTAAAAGTGATTGTTATTAATGGTTTCAGTGAAATTCATATTAATAATTTTAGTGATATGTTGAATACATGATATTGCTGCTTTCGAATGTTTAAGGAGATTTAGAAATACTTTAAGTATGCAAGTGGACTCATCCGGTTCGCCGGTGAGGTATAAGTGGACCTATTTGGGACACCGGCAGGGATTAAGTGGACTCATCCGGTACGCTGGTGAGGTATAAGTGGACCTGTATCTGAGACGTCGATAGAGATTAAGTGGACCCATCAGGACATTGATGGGGTATATTGGTGACCTACTTGGGATGCCAGTAGGGTATTTTGTGAAATCTTTTGAATTATGCATTGCCGTTAAAATGTTATACGCATTTCAATTATTCGAATTATACTTAATTATGCATTTTTTTTTAAAGTGAAACTGTTAATGCATTTATGTTAATAGATCTCCTTTTTGAAAATATTGATATCTTTCAATCATGATTATTTTTAGGATTATGATGATCACTTACTGAGTAGCCAAATTCATCAAATTATGGTAAACATTTTTTCAGGATAACTACGGTTTCATTTTGAGTGCTCATCAGGATCAACTTTGGAAGATACTGTAGTTGTGCTTAAACTTTCGCCACTGTAAATTTGTCCTATCAATGAGATGTATATATGTTTTGACTAGAATTTCAGTATTGTAAATTCTTGGGGCATGACATTTAGACTTTAAAATAATGACTTTTTTAATTGATGGGAAAAAGTAAAAAAAAGAAAAGTAACTAGGTCATGGGTGTGTTACGAAAAGTATTGGGGTTAGAATGTCTACAAAGTTCGGTTTGAAAGGCATCCATAATTTTCCCTAACAGTTAACAAATAAATTTAATTTTCGAAAATATAAAAAAAGCTTCCGATAAGTTAGGATTCACGGGTTTGCAACCACCAAATGGCCATCACTTTTCTCTCTCAAAAAATACTTTTTGGAGACCTAAAAAGGCATTGGGGAGTATGTTGGAGGCAGTCACCCAACCATTACATGCCCCCCCATGGTTTGAGCCCCGAGCCCCTTTCCTCTCTCTCTTCATCTCAAGTCTCTTATTTCTTTCTTCTTGTTAGAATTCGTGTGAGCATACACGTACAAACATTGAATGAAGCGATAAGAAGAGATAACACAACATTTACGTGGTTCAGGCCGAAGCCCTATATCCACGGATCCAAAGCTCAACTGGCTACATCTTCATAATTTTGGATAATTGTTTACATTAATAAGTTCCTCTATATATAGAGAACAATCACACGATTACATGAGATAAACATTGTATGATAACTTGATGACCAAGTAACTTGGTCTCTATCTTTTAGATACCTTACCTAACCTAACCTTATTAAGAGGTATATACATATACATCTATAATGATGTATATCAATATAAATCTAAGATATCCATATCCCAACACTCCCCCTCAAAGTCAAGATGCTTTGATGCAAAACAGCTGGAGTTTGAACAATACTAAGGTCCCAAAAAAAACGAGTAGTGATCAAATTCATGTTCGCAAGTTACCATGGTTTTTCAAGAAACAACCATTCTTAAGCTCTCTACTTTCTTTTAGAGACTTTCTCTCTTTAGGATCTTATAAGAAAGTACTTTTCTTGGGCTCTCTACTTTTTTCTAGAGACTTTCTCTCTCTAAGATATTCTTCTCTGAGGATCTTATCTCTCTCAGAAGTTTCTTTTCTTTCTTGAGGATTTCTCTCTCTAAAAGAAAATGATCATCACACTGGATGGAGCGACAGAAAACTCTATCATCCAATAGGATTGAGTAACGAAAAACTTAATCATTGAAACATAGACATCTGGAACAAACAGGAGCGAGTAAACGCGATCATCACACATGATGGAGTAACTGAAAACTCCATCATCAAATGTGATCAAGTAACGAAAAACTTGATCATCAACCATGATCTAGACATTCAATCATCTTTATCTCTTCATCTGGAGACGAAACTTTTGATCATCAACCAAGATCGATCATCTTCATCTCTTCCTCTAAGACAAAACTCTTTATCATCAACCATAACTTCCCTTTGTACAGTAGTTGGACTCATCCAGTATCTGGATTTTCTTGTCCATATATCGGTTACATTTGAGACGTTGACTTCATCTCTACTCATCTCATCTCCATATCTCCTATACTCTCTCCCTCAATTTGGGTGTGGATGTGAAGAAACACCCAACTTGCAAAATACATTTTTTTTTTCTTTCACCACCGCTAAACACTAGCCTCTTTTTATTTTTCTTCTCTACTTCTTCAATATATATATATTTTTCTTTTAACCATAAAATCCCAAGTCAATATGTCTCTCTCTCTAAAAATCACCACAAACGGAAACTGATATACGAACTAACCGATCTGCTGGATTCGTTAAGACTGGTTTTTTTTTGCAAACTTATTTTTCACATCGTGAAGACTGATTTTCCATTCTTTGGTACTTCTTTCCTTTCTTTGTTGCAAACTATTGAGTGGACCACTGTTGCAAAGCAAAGGTATTGACTCTACAAAATGATTTTCCATTGACTTGTAAAACAAAGGTTGTGTTCATTGCTTCCGCCACTGTTATAGGCACAGCTGTCGTCTTTAGCCAAACATGAAAGAGACACAGTTTCCTTGCTAGTGCTCAAAGACCAAACATGAAAGAGGCACGGTTGCTCTACTCGTGCAAGTAAGATTTGAGGCCCAAAGGTACAGGATGGTGGCACTTTCCTACATGCTTGCATGGACCCAACCTAAGGTGTTTTTCGACATGGAGATCGGTGGTGTGCCTTCTGGTCACATATCCTGGGTCAAAAAAATGGTCTTGAAATTTCCCGATCAACCACAGATCTAAGCCAACCAACCTCAGATCTAAGCAGTATCCTGAGTCAAGAAACTGGTCTTCAAATTTCTCGGCCAACCTCAAATCTGAGCCGAGGAGTCTATGGCTTTGATACCATGTTATGTTGAGGAGGTAACACGATGATCAGATCTTTGTCGCTCTGATACCATGTTAGAATTCATGGGAGAATACATGTACAGACATTGAATGAAGAGATAAGAAGAGAAAACACAATATTTACGTGGTTCAGACCGAAGCCTTATATCCACGGATCCAAAGCCCAAC